AATGAAGTTTAATGAGGAGACAGGACAGACTGCGCTGATGTGAACAAGAAATTCCAGGCCAGCAACCTGCTTATATGTGATTGGTCCCACTTATCTCTTTATCCTTCTATTTTCCAATGCTTTTTTTCTCTTCAAACCACCCAATTCTCTCCTTCTTCCCTCTTTTGGTTCCTCCCCTAAACACCCAAAACATTCTTGTGCAATCCCCAAATGCTCTTCCCCTGCATCCCATAAGGAGTCCCCCACTTTCCCAGTCTGTGAGGTGATTTGGGGAACATCTAGGACTTATTGGCTCATGAGGTGTTTGTCACCCCAAGGCCATGGGGTTAAGGCTCTCCTGGGGCAGCCCTGGGAGCTGTAGGGGCCAGGGGTTGTTTCCCTGGGTAGCTTATCGGGGTCTGTCTCCTCTCTGTGTGTCTGTGCTCCTTCATGTGTGGGGAATGAGCTGCTAACCACATAACCTAATGGGACCCCTTAACAGTGACGGCCCCCTCACCTACCCCCAGTTACTTAAAATTACAGTCCTGGCTTTTCAGATGTGTGAAGGTTTTCAACATCACAGTTTCTCCATGTTTCTCCCTCTCATTTTATCGACTGCCAGAGAAGCACATTCACCCAGTTCAATTTCTCATATGGACTTATGCTCTTGAAAAACCTCTGTTGGAGACTTTTCTGGGTGAATTGCCTGAAAGCTGCTAAAATTAAAAAAAATAATAAAAAAAAATAAAGGCGAGAAAAAGAAAGAAAAACCTAAAAACAACTAACTTAGCAAACAAACAAAAAACACAACAGCAAAGATCCTGCAAACACCTCCAAGCTGCTGTCAGACACAATAGCATTTTCCACATATTCTCCTTGGCCCAAAGACAAACACCACAGAGATATTATTATTATAATGAATTATTAAGTTCCTTCATGTTGAACTCCATGTTGCCAGAAAGCTTCATTTCAGCTGAGTCTTTAAATTCTTTTATCCTTCAGCACACACATATTTGCTGACTTGTCTTCTGTGTTCTGCAGAGATCCCCCCAGTTGCCCCCTGGAGAAGCAAGCAGCTCCTGACTGTCATCGTAGCAATCTCTTCTTTAGGTTGCAACAGCCCCAGACTCGCATCCCCCTTGGCCCTAAATAACCACCAGTTCTTGCACATTCTGTTGCCAGTGGGAAGAGGCTGGGAAATGTATAATTAATGCAGATATCTCACTTCCCACACAGAAAGCCAACATGGTGTCATTGCTTAGGATGAGAAGAGTGCTGATAACACCCCGATGCTTTAATTGTTGCAGAGCAGTGCTTATACTAAGCCAAGGACATCTCAGCCTTTTGCTCTGTCCTGCCAACGGGCAGGCTGCTGGGGTGCAGTAAGAGCTGGGAGGGGACAGACCCAGGACAGGTGACCCAAACTAGCCAAAGGGGTATTCCTACCATCTGACGTCATGCTAAACAATATATAGGGGTGGCTAGCCGGGGGGAGGGGGCCGGACTGCTCGGGTTAGGCTGGCATCGGTCAGCGAGTGGTGAGCAATTGCATTGTGCATCACTTGTTTGTACATACTATTATTACTTTCCTATTATCATCATTGTATTATTATTGTTATTATTTTTATTATTATTTTGTTATTATTATTTCCTGTCTTATTAAACTGTCTTTATCTCAACTCACGGGCTTCACTTCCATTTCTCTCCCCGTCCCAGAGAGGGAGGGAGGGTGAGCGAACGGCTGCGTGGTGTTTAGCTGCCGCCGGGTTAAACCACAACAGCCCGGCTAGCTCAGTCGGTAGAGCATGAGACTCTTAATCTCAGGGTCGTGGGTTCGAGCCCCACGTTGGGCGCCAAAAAGGCTGTTGTGGTTAACCCGGCCGGCAGCTAAACACCACGCAGCCGTTCGCTCACCCTCCCCCTCCCTCTCGGGACGGGGAGAGAAATGGAAAGTGAAGCCGTGAGTTGAGATAAAGACAGTTTAATAAGACAGGAAAATAATAATAACAAAATAATAATAAAATAATAACAATAATAATACAATGATGATAATAGGAAAGTAATAATAGTATGTACAAACAAGTGATGCACAATGCAATTGCTCACCACTCGCTGACCGATGCCCAGCCTAACCCCGAGCAGTCCGGCCCCCTCCCCCCGGCTAGCCACCCCTATATATTGTTTAGCATGACGTCAGATGGTATGGAATACCCCTTTGGCTAGTTTGGGTCACCTGTCCTGGGTCTGTCCCCTCCCAGCTTCCTAAAATCCTTTCTGATAGATGCCGGGACTGTGGGAGCAAGCAAACAAAGCAGGCAGCTGAGGCACCGTGTAGAAGGGGCTGTGAGGATCCACGATGCAATAATGGGGTTGTGAGGATCAGACACCATCTAGGCCAGATATCCAAGGAGATCTTTGACCTTTATTCCCTGAATGAAGGCAGATCTAGAAATGATCCTGGAAAAAAAAAAAAAAAAAAAAGAAAAAAAAAACACATATATAACTGAAGGATTTGGGACTGAGTATGAGCATGAGCTTTTGGTAAAATAACTTTTGACCAAGCACTATTATATGTTCTGGCTTTTTATTTTTTAATCCTTTACCTACTGACTAATAACCCAGTGACACATTTGTAAAAGATCAGCCCGTGTAAGATGGCTTATAACATTTGAAGAATGGAGGAGAAGCAGCCAGATAAGCATCTGTTGAGCTAAATCCTCATTAGGTACTTTCTGCCCCTGAGCCTCAAAGCAATTCTAAAATAAACCAGGCAGGAATCAGCAGAGCAGGGAAAGAAAAACAATTCTATTTTTAAGTGGATAATTGAAATGAGCCACCTCAGGTGGTTTGAAGTGGTTTAACAAAGTCTGACATACAACCCTCCTTCATGTTGCTTACCCACAGTATAGTCCCACCAAATACCAAAGTGATGAACTAGATACAACACAAGGCAGTCTCCAGGATGTCTTTCGACCAAACAGCTAAATCTTTAAAGGGGGTTATAAATAAAAACAAACTCATTGCTTGGACTCGCTGTGATTCTGCTTAAGTTTTTGAACTTCTCTTCACCCAGTTCCTTATGAGTTCTTTGTAAAAACTGAGCCTCAGCTACTGCCACCAAACACAAACCATTACTGTAGCTCAAGGGATGCTAAAGTAGAGAAAACCATGGGGAGGGAAGAAGGGGCCATATCTCTTCTCTGTTAGGCTATTTGATGGTGGACCAGAACTTCATCTGCTTTAAATTGGAATGTCCCCACAGACTGGAAAAGGCCAGCAGGGCCCTTGTGATGGAGATCCAGCAGTGTTACTCAGGCTAATTGGGTGACAGAGCTGCCTGCCCCTGCACGGAGCCATCCGCTGTACAACAATTTGCAGCAGGTCAAAATGCTGACACGGTGTTCTGACTTTGCTCTTTTCAAGACTGAACTAAAAATAACAGCTTACTGCCACATAAAATGCATCCAAAGACCAAATGTCTGTGATTCCGGAGGATGCAAATTGCCAGGATTTACTCTGTTTGCATTACGCAGTCTGCGGATCCCCAACGCCTTTGATTTGCCCTCCTTTCTGAACTTTTCTCCTTGTGCATTCCACTATCCACCCTGCCCTAGGTTAATGCAAATGTGGTTTGAATTTATTATTTTTAAAAGTACCAAACTAGCCTGACCCAGCACTGAAACCCATCTGTGATCAGCTCATAGCTCTGCTTCTTACTTGCTGTGCACGCGTGGCAGATGTCTCAGCTTTTATTTGAAACCTTCCCTTTATCAGCGCTGTTGGCTACGCTTACAAGCTCTGCAAGACAGAAGCCGTCTCTTACTGGGTTTCAGCATCACATGGGGTCACAACCCCTGATAAGAAACTTGAGCAATTCCTGTATTACATAAAATAAATTTTCCAGGCCAGTAAAAGGTGATATCTGGCAGCATAAGGGTGCAGATGCTCTCCTCAGGTTGAGTAACTTGTGCCTTTTTCCTTGGGTCATTTCTCTTTCAAAGATGTGTTACACAGCTCAAGAAGTAGAATGCCATTTGGGGTTTCCTCAGACATGCAGGAGGATTTGAAAGCAATGTTGGACATTTTGTCTAACGCTTTCTTGAAGAGAAAAATGAGGGCTGTCTGTTTTCCATGGGAGAGATTTTGAAGCATTTTCACAGCACATCAGTTGTGAACTTCTTCACAGTCTCACCTGGCCCTACAAGACAAAAGCCTTCAAGTAGTCGAGTAGATTAGGATCATCAGGAGAGTCTAAAGGAGCTACACACTCACTTATTTTGCAGCATTATTAGCTCTTTTGATGCTAGGGAAATGACTTAACTGTGTTTGAAAGACCTTGTTTTGAAAGTGAGAGCTGACACGGCTCACAAGGGAGGACATAGACCTCCCCTCCCAAGACTGAGCTCCTTAGCTTTTGTTGGATGCACCACTGAGTTTAATTAAAACCTGGCTTTATGTTCAATTTATGAGGTTCGTCTCCTTCAATTAGTGACACATGAAGCTGGGGAAGTCACAAAGCAGAGAAGACTGCAGTCTAGGAAACAGCATTGCTTCTTTTACTATAGGTGCAATGAAGCCAGAGATAAACTATAATGTACAAATAATAAGACAATATAAAATTGCAGCTCTTACCAAGCATGCATATATTTACAGATTCATTGGCCTTCAGATGGACAGTAGCCTAAGGTAATTTGCTCTTCTCCATTACAATAACAAATCTGTGCTTTATATCCTTTAACGGAGCTCTGTAATTTATATATTCTTCTATTTTTCCTTTCTTTGTTACAAAATAAAATTAACATTTCCTTTATCATTCTGTGTTACAGTCACCACTGTACATACAAGATATATGGGATCACTGTGTGTGAGTCTGTGCATATTCATACACATATATACTGTTATGAAAGATTTGTATGTTTTTTCAGCATTTGCAAGCATTAAAATCGGATGCACATTCTTTGTTCCTTAATTTGTATGAATACTTGAAGTCTTACATTGTCTATTAGAATTTACCTCCAGATCATAGAATGTCGGCTAATCACCAAACTGCTTGTGTTTTATCTCTCACCTCAACCTGTAACTGCAGACGTGGCTTTTAAGCAGGCTTCAGCCTCAGTACTGGAGTTTAATGCTTTAGCTAAGCCTCTGTGTTTTTTGAGGGGGACGAAGTAGTTTGTATCCCACTCCAGTCAAGGGAAATTTTCCAAAATGTAAAATGTCCAGGAATACACAGGAATGGAGAGGTTCCTCCTCAGGGCCATGCAGACAAACTTCTTACAGGACATCTCTGCAAGGCAATTCTCCAAAAGAGTTATGCCGGTGCATATGCGACCTGATCCTGCACACAGGCAAACTGTTTGCAGTGCCTCTGCTAGGTTGAGCAAGCATATTTTTCAATAAAATCCCTACTGCTGAAAGCTGTTGTGAATTAATTAGTTTATTCAAAATCTTCCTTACCTTCTCCTCCAATGGCTTATAATCCTTTTTCACTGTGGATGGGAGCTTGAAGTCAGCTGAAGATGAATTTCAATTTTTAAAATTAATCCACCTCTGATCTGGTTGGAGGAAGCTGGTATATGCCTTACGGTCTTGGTTGAGAAGTTACTGTTCAGGCTACTTTCCTGAAGTTCTTTTGTTTTCAGGTGTGCTTCTGTCCCCCAATTTTATTTATTAATATGTACATATATATTTAATGTCTGTTCTCCTGTATTTCAGTTTCAGGACATGTCAACCCAAGACAATAAAAGCAAGAAAATGGGAGTTTAAAAGAATAGCATATTCCAGAGCTTGTGTCATAGGACACCCTACTGCAGAAATAATTTTGTGCTATGTAGACCCAGTTTAGGAATATGGCCTTATTATAAGGGATCACAGATTGTACCTGCAGGGTTTAGCATCTGCATTTGTCTTGAGCCTATATTTTGCATTTAAAACACACAATGCTGGGAATTCACAAGGAAAATGAGGAAAGGGCAGAAATCCCTGTACATGTTCACAGTTCATTATACATTCAAACTTCCTTTGAAAGTTTATTTCATGGAATAATAAGCTGCTAAGCTTTCCCAGTGCTCCCTGTCTCTGAGGCCAGTGTACAAGCAGTTTCCCAGCAATTATGAAGAAAATGAAGAAGTTACACCAACCTGAAAACTTCAGAATGACCTCATACAGACCCTCCTGTATGACTCCAAGATCATACAGGAGGGTCTTTTTGTTGTCCCACCCTTGTTATTCCTAAGAGGAGACTCTTCCTTATTAATATTTATTTAGATGGAGATGAAGCACAGCAGTTATTTCAGCACAGGACACAGAGTTTACAGTGTGCGTGTTAGAAGAGGTCTCTGAAAATATCCTTTATTGTTGATCATACCCAATTGTCAAACAGAAATTTAGGTGCCTCCGGTTTTCAGGGATGCAGTCATGGAGCTCTAAAAATAAACAAGCAAACAAAGAAAACAACAACAGGTTATCTGGAGTGGGGCTATTCATTACATGTCGCTTGTCATTTTTTATTTCCTGACCACAGGACTTCATCATTCAGCCAAGAAGCAGGCACAACATGATAAAATTAAGGCACAAGTTACTTAACAAGCTGATGTTTCAGTGGCGTGTACTGAATATTATCAGACCAGATACTCCTGCTGTTGCAGAGAACTTACAGAGGTGAGATGTCAGGCATCCCCAGGCTGGTTAGGCTGGGTGGGCCTGGCTTTCTGATGGCTGTGAGCATGGGGGGATTCTCAGGAGACTTCTTAAGCAGCATCTGTTATATGCATGGGCCCTTTCTCTATGCCTGACCTACAAACTTCTGTCGCCCCTTTTGTCTTCACAGCAATTTCACGTGCTCAATGGTGGCTGAAAAATACAAAAGGTAAGTTAATTTCCAAATGAATCCCCAATTTAACATGCCACAACATCAGCTGCAATCAGAAGGCAGCTGTCTCCAGCCAGGTTTAACTTCCCTGCATGGGAAACATGCAGCTGAAGAGCTGAGTTTCAGGATTTGCAGTTGCCCTGTTTCAGCACAGCAGTAGGAACCTGCTCCAGCTCTGGAGCTTTGCAGTTGAGAAGCTGAATTCACCCATGATCATACAAACAATTACTCATATAGTTTCATGAAAGAAGTTTTACTTCGTTTCCCAGATGCTGTTCAAGGCAGAAGGACTGTACTCCACCTCCAGAAATTTGCACATGGTGTATTCACTTGAAAAGAGCCATGTCTTTAAAAATGGGCACCTACTGATCTCCATTACCAGACATGAGCAGTCAAGTGGAAAATATGATTAGTTGCCCTCATGCAATTGTGTTTCCCCAGAAAGAAAGGAATAACATCTCAGATGTAACTTCTCTCTTGCTATCTTGTTCTGGAGGAGTGGAAAAAAAACAGTAGAAAAAAAAAGAAAAGTTAAAAATATTAAATTCAAAAGTCAAAGTAGACGAACGCTTTTCCATTTGATGAACATGTAGGTGTAGGAAAACAATTACAAGAGGACACATGACACATACAGGTCAGGAATAAAGGAATGTTCAAGGAGGTTCAAAGGTAGGATATCCTGCAGTATTGTAGTTATTGCAATCTTTTTTTTTTTTTTTTTTAAAGCAGATAAAGCAAGGGGTAGTGAGAATGTGGTCAGATTATTTGACACCCTCTTACCCCAGGACAGCCCTTGGAACCTACTGGCAAATCAACTGGCAATAGTCTTTGAAAGTGGTTTCTGGACTTGAGAGCTCATAGACTGAATCACTCAGTTCCCTCCATCTCCCCCTATCCATATACACATAGCAGCAACGACAGAGCTTTCTCCCTCCCTTTCATGCTCACCTTGGTGCCAAAAGCCTCACCATAGCTGAGCAGAAGCAGAAAATCTTTGTGCAAATCTGTGTCTGAGAGGACTCTGAATAGAATAACAATTCTGGGCTTTGTCTGCCAGGGTGCTCGAGGGTCTAACAGAATCCAAAGGCTCTCAGATGCTAATCACAGTCATTCAGCTTGCAGGATCATATCTGAGCAAGAACCTGAAATTGCTCATTTAGGTGCACAATTAAACTGTCAGTCACAGAGGATGATTCAGAGGGAGGAAAATGCAAACCTGAAAACCGTATCTCCTAGGGTGCCAGGCACCTTGCAAAGCAACTTGTCAGAGCAAGAGATCTCGAGAGCTCAGCTGGGGCAAGGTGATGAGTCTATTGTGGATGGAGGTGCTATGTTTGACAGTATCAGCCAAGGGCAGAGAGCAGGAAGAGCAGAAATTCCTGCACCAGCCTTAAATTCATTGCTGAGGCTTTGTGCTCCCTCTGCCCATCGTGCTGGTTTTCCGTGGTGGTAGAGCATGGGACTTAAAAGAGATGTTGTGTCAACACACAGGCTACCAAATGGCAAAGAGAGCATCCAATGTGCAGCAAGGCACAGCCGTGTGACTCAGTTCCCTCCTGTTTTTCCAGGCAACTGTTTCATCTAATATTCCACCTTCTCTGTTTCCCCCACCATCTCATTTTGATCTTTTATGTATGACACCCTTTCTGATGATTGATTGGAGCTATTCTCGCTTTATCAAATTAAAGAAGGAAGAAAATACAGCAAGATTTAACCATCACCCCTTGCAGAAGGCTAAAAGAAACTTCCTCTAGGAACATGAGAAAAATAGGTGTGTTAATTCACTAAAGCGGGGCATAAGACATGCTGATTGACAAAGAGCTTTGGTTGTATTTAGTACAGCAAGCTTTCATTTTCTGAGCATAGAAAGTCAAATATCTCCCAAGCATTAACATTCCTAAATTGATCTTTATTTGTCTGTTTGTTGTTGTTTGTGTGGGATGAATTTCCTGTGCCTTTTCATCAATATTTTCATTTTGTATGTGGTGTTTTTGCAGGTAAGGTCCTGGGCATTTATTTTCACCTTCCCAGAGGCACTGGGTCTGTCAGGAGTGAAGAAACAAACATGTCTGGTTCAATGTTGCTGAAGTCAATCAGAGATCACATGGAGGACTGAAAGCTTCTCCATCTAAAAACAAAACAAAACAAAACAAACAAACAAAAAACACACACAATGGAGATCCTAAACTCTTAAAGTCAAACAGGCTATGGGGTATTCTGCAGAGAGGGATTTCTCCTCCTATTATTCAGGTCATTGCACAGCAAATTGTGCACAAATGAAAATAAAAAAAATCAAGCAAACAGGAACATTAATCTCCTCTATTGAGGAAGGCCCTGAACCAGAGGAGGATGAATCAGATACCACTGTGTTCAATACAAGGCAGACAGCAATTTATAAAAGCCCACACCACCAGGAACAGAGTCAAAGAGCCCAAAGTAAGGTCACTCCGTGTGGGTGGTCAAACCTGCCTCCTCTCCTAAACGGCAAGATGATAAGTACAGATGTCTCTTCCTTCTCCCAACTTTTAGAGAGAGCAGGTTGGGAATCAACAGGGATGACAGCTCCCCATTCTGGGGAGAAGGAGAAGGGAGGAGTTTAATTTAAGGATGAAAGCCATACCACACCATTTGCCTTCAAGAAGAGAAAACAGACCTTGGCTCTGCTTGTGTTACTAACAAGTCTAAGATGCAGTTTGACTGGGTGCTACAGTTTCATACTCAGATGGGAAATGGTCCTAGGTCTTCCCATCCCCAAGTTCAGGGTAGTCTCCTAGGATGGTTTTCTCTAATGACTGCAAGGAAACACACATTTCACATTTTGACAATCAGCTTTCAAGCATCACAATACCTTTTAAACACCTACAGGAGAAAGTTCTGATCTTTTCAAACTTTTTTTTATATCCAGGATGGGAGGTGGAGGGGGACTAGATGTTGCTGTGTGGCGGGAGAACAACTCATGACCTTCATACTTGTTTGATAGTGCCAATTACTTTCTTTTTTTTCCCCTTTAGAATGGCCCCTTATTATACAGTAAATTGTTTCAGAATAACTGGCTAATACATATTTTTCTGGAAATCTTATGAGTAAGTCTCATTTTTTAAAAGTCAGGCAGGCATTTAAGAATCTGAGTTCCACTGAATTTCAAAAAGATGAGAGACTCCTGAACCACTTCAGCATACTTAAATGCTTAAGTTTAAAGCCTACTTCATAGCTTTAATTCTACCACTTCTGCACTTCTACCATTCCTGGAGTTATACCTTGCTCGGTGAGAATTCAGAGCAAGACACAGTTATAGAAGCAAAGAGGAATTATTCTGTACAGATAATTGGGCTGCATGTGCTGAGATCTGTGTGCTTTAAAAAAAAAAAAAAAAAAAAAAAAGAAAAAAACATACAAATTGATTACTGACATCAAAGTATTACAATAATGATCAAGCATAGCAGGAAATACAAAAATCACAGCTTGAATACAGAGAACCCATAAACTGCCAACTATGTAAAAATAACATTATGACATTATTTAAACAATGTAATACCAGAGTGAAAAACTATAGTAACTGCATTGTGACCTTCATCACATACCATTGAATGCAAAAGGAAAGGTTACAGTGTTTGTGTGTTTCATTTCCCCTGATGAAGAAAATCAAAATGTCAGCCAATAACTCAATAAAGTGTACTTCCAGAGAGATATTTTAATAGAATAAATCATTAATTTTTCAAAGTAAATGGAACTTTAGCTGTAAGAAAGCCATCTGTATTAGTTCTTATTTACTGATGAGCAAGCTGTTTGCTTTTTTGTCACATTGCATCCCCCAAGGCACTGAATGCCAATCAACAGCACTTAATGTTTAAGTTATATGAATAATGGTCTAAATTTGGCTCAGTAAAAAATAATTCAGATATCCAGTAATGACAAGCTGAGAGGTGAGACCTGAAGAGAACTAACAATAATTCTGTACAGACCCACACTTTCTTAGTTTAAGATTTAGGGAATTCACTGAGGCTATGGACAAGCATAAAGCAGTCATAAAGGATGGGCTCCCCCATGGCCACAGCTACCATCAGCTACCTAAATGTTATGCAACTATTTATCCATCTGCTTATTTCTTTGCAGCCATCTTATCCCATGTGAGATGGAGTAAGCTATGTGAGATGCCTTCAGGAGGTGCATTGGTCTTTCTCCAGTTGGCCACAAGACCACAGACCTGAAATTACATTATATTAGTCCAGTTTATATCCATGATATCCTACTGTAAACTCATAACTGTTTCTACTGTTGTAATTAGTCAATCTTTTCTGCTGATGCTACGGGTAAACCCAGTGGTGCTATTCATGCAGCTGTCCCACAGCAACTTGACTGATTAAATGTGAAATACTATAAAGCACAGGGGTTTATGTAGGAGTGTGGATGTTTCAGGTTTGGGGATGAGCACAGAGAGATAGGATTTATTTATTTATTTTCCACCACCCAGCTGAACTGAAAAGGAAATGGACAGGAAGAAAGAACCTTTTGAGCTCATTTTGAAACATTTTGTTTGAACTGAAATTAAATGTTCCATGAATTTGAGGGGATTAACACAATTATTTTTTATGGTCAATTTTCAATTCAAAATGCCATTCTCCAAATCAAATAGCAAAATGTTTTGCTTGGCAAATCTGATTGGAGCACTTTGCTAGACACGGTTTTCCACATTTTTGAGGCCAAAGATATTTGCTGAATTTGACCAGTGCCAGTAGATTTAGTTTCTCTAATCTTTATTTTCCAATAAATATTCTAGTTTGCTGAAATATTGTAAGAACTAAAGCCAATGTTTGCAACAATTACAGCTTATATAGAGGGTAACAAAAGCACTAAAAATTGTTTGTGAAGACATAAATCTGCTGTAGTTTCACAGAAGCCATTGGCTTGGGATGAGTGAAACAAAAAATAAAATGGCTCTATGATAATGCTCAGCATTAACTGATGAATGCTAAAGCACAAG